TGGGTGTACCTGTCATCCACAGTCAGCATGGTGGTGATGGTGTGCTGTGGAGTTGGTTCCGACTCATAGCGACCCTGCACAGGTTTCTGAGGCCTCATTTGTCTCCCGCGGAACGACTGGTAGTTTTGAACTGCTGACCTTGAGGTTAGCAGCTTGACTTATACCCACTATGCTACCAGAGTTACTTAACTCAGCCTGTTGTTGTTGAAGTGCCATCAAGTTGGTTCCGACCCATAGTGACCCTGCATAGGATTTCTGAGGAGCTCAAACTGCCAACGACCTTGCAGTTCTAACCGACTTTGCAGTCTAGTACATTAAACTATTTGTTGTTGTTGTGAAGTGCTGATGAGTCGGTTCTGACCCATAGTGACCCTGTATAGGGTTTCCAAGGAACAGTTGGTGAGCTTGAACTGCTGACACTGAAGTCCATCTCATTAACCCCCAGCACCATTTATCCATTTCTTGTTGTTGTTGTTGTTAGGTGCCATTGAGTCGGTACCAACTCATAGCGACCTTGTGCACAGTAGAACGAAACACTGCCTGATCCTGGGCCAACCTCACTACTGTTGCCATGCTTGAGTCCATCAATGCTGTCACTTGGCTGATCCATCTCGTTGGGGGTCTTCCTCTTTTTATCTGACCCTCCTCCACCTTACCAAACATGGTATCCTTCTTATAAAAAGACAAGTTTCTAGCAGCAATGAAGATGTGAGCTAAGTCTGGCCATGGTACACAGATTCCTGTCAACCTGGAGTATGGTGAGACCTAGGGACTCCTGAGCCCATGGACAAGGACATAGCCACAGAGGGCTAGAGCAGAGAATGAAGTGTCCAGCTGATACGAAGTGAGGGGAGATGCACAAGAACGCCCATACTTGCAGATAATATTCATTTGACCTAGCTTCAATGGCTAGATGATCAGAACTAGAGTAGAGAAAGAAAAAAAAAAAAAAATTGAAAGAAAATAAGTGTAATTTGCTACAATTTGATGAACTTGACCTACTCTTATGGATGGAGTAGCTTAAAATACCAACCAAGAGGAAAGGAATCCACACAGCAAGGATCATTCCCATCCCCTTTGTACACAGGGTTGATAGGGATGGGCAACTTAGACATTGGCTACCTAAAATGGAGGGCTATAAAGGCATGAAGTGGCTGGCTTACAAGTTTTCAAGAGGGAGTTTAGTTTCCAGGGGTGTGGGGGAAGGTAGAATCTCCACTGAGAGGTTTTCATCCTGTCTAGATGCAGCTGGTGAAAGGAGATGGAGGTAAGACTCTTAGGGTTCAATAGTCAATAATTGTTATCATGACTGACTGTGATGGTTGCAACGGTACAGATAGAGGTTTTGTAGCAAAACGAGGGGAGCGGTTGATCTTGCAGTCCAGGAGCGGAGGGCCCTGGGACCATCAAGGGAGAAGACTGTGGGAGTGTGGGACCCTATTCAGAGAACTGGTGACGCCAGAGAAGAAGGCAGAGATGTTAAGAGATGGAGTGGCTTGGGACTCTAGACTCATGGAGGGAGAGGGGCTGTGTGCTGGAGGCCAGGCAGCAAGCTTGCAAGATATGACCTTTGGGTGTTTGAATGTTGAATTATTGTATATTTCTGAGAGTTTTGGAGTACATCCAAAAAAACAAAAAACAGAGGAAATAGAAGCAAATACTGTAAAATAAATAAATAAATAAATAGATGCTTTAAAAAGAAAAGACATGTTTCTGTGGAAGGGAAATAAGAACCCCAGGGAGGAAGTGGGGAAACTGGTGTTACATGGAGGGAACTGTAATCACTGAGATGAAACTAAGTGTATGATTTTGTTGAATGTAAAACTGATGATCTGCTCTCTAAACCACTCAGTTCACAATTAGAAGTTAAAAACAAAAAAAGTCAACAGCAACTCATGATTAAGACTTAAAAATTTTTTAAAAACAACATGTTTCTGCGTGTTTCTCAAGAGGCTTGAGGCCACATCTCATTCACCTTTGTGTTCACAGGGCAGCACTTGGCACACAGGATGGGGCCTCCCAATAAATGTTGACTACACTGAACCGAGGCGCCATAGCCCTGTAATACTGAGTGTGTTATTTGTGTTGGAGGCAACTGCAGAATACAAGTGTCCTGACTCAGATTAATGCAAAGGTTTATGACAACATTTAAAGTATGTTGAGTAAAGATATTCTTAAAGCTAACACCACCAGAGGATTTTAATTACTAAGGAGCCACAGCTGGCCTGGCATGTCACCAACTGCCCATGGAAGTGAATGACAATGAAAACCCAGCTTAGGGGAATCACCAACAAAGATAAATCCTAGCTGTGCAAACAGGTAGCAAAGCAGCATCAGTAAGAACAGAGTCCAGGAAGTGATAAAAATTCAGGAACACAGAAGAGAAAAGTAATGACCCAGCTGGACCACATGCCAAGAAGGACCACATAAAAAGAGAGCCTGGTTGAAATGGATCTGATGAACAAGTTGTTGTTGTTTTTGTTGTTAAGTGCCATCGAGTTGGCTCCAACTCATAGTGACTCAGTATAGGGTTTCCAAGGAGTGGCTGGTAACTTTGAGCTGTCAACCTTGCAGTTCAAACCAATATAGCAGTCCCGCACATTAGCCCACCACACCACATCAGGAGTCCAATGAACAAGTACAAATACTAAAATCTATCAGGGAGCTGGCCATCTTAACCTTGGAATTAGGAGAATTAATTACAAAACTAGCAATCTGATCTCAGACAACTGGCCTAAGAGACTGTGTGTGATGCCGTTTTAATAGCTAATAAATCGTTAAATCACTGAGCTGTGCTCATGGGTGATTATTCTTCATTCTTCCTCCCTGACAGCTCATGTGACAAAAGCTAGCGTTTGCTTTTTATTTGCCATTGACTAGGATATATGGAGTCCTAGTGTGGCACTGTGGGTTAATGCGCCAGACTGCAAAGCCATTTGAACTGCAAGGTTGACAGTTCAAGCTCACCACCTGCTCCTTGGAAACCCTATACAGGGTTGCAATGGGTTGGAACTGACTCAACGGCACTTAACAACAACAAGAAGGATGTATATACTTATATATAAATTAATATTTGGGGTCATTAAATCACATCTTTAAAGGCATCCAAAAAAACCTGTCATCATAAAAAAGAAGCCTGGAATGGGTGAGCTTGTTTGGCCAGTATCCTTATAAAAGCAAAGATATCTTTTAGGATGAAATTCTCTCTTTCCCCAACATTCACTGGAGGCCCCATCAGCTGCCATAAGTCACCAATCTGCTCAAAATCCATTCATTTATGTACCTCTTTGGATCTGTTCACCATGTATGCCTTTTATTTACTTAGTATTTTTCATCTCAGAAATACCACTGTAAGCTAGGTGCAGAGACCTGACTTGAGCAATACATGTTATAAATGAATTATCCCTGGGGAAGAGACAAGAAACCCACTATCAACGAAAGTTCCCAAGGATTGCATTCCCTTCACAGATCAGAGAGGCAAAATACGCCACATCCTCTCCAAACACAAGCTTCCCACAGCCTGCTCACCTCATTACTCTCCCACCTTCCCCAGGCCTCCTCTTCCAGGCAAATAAAAAAACCCGAGAAAGTCCCATTCTTGGGGAACATGAAGGTTTTAATGCAATTTTAAGGACAACAGCTCTAAGCACCAGAACGCTGGCTCCTTTTTCATGAATAAAAAGGCCCCAAAAGGATCTTTTCATAACAAAACTATCGGGAGCACAAAGAACCACAAAAAATAAAACTGCCATAAACTGAAACTGTCTCCAATTTGAACCTACACAGGTCATTATTACACCCCACGCCAAGCAGGCTGATTTCCCATCCCAGATCCTTAAATGTTCCTAGTTTTCTTTAACGAAATAACAAGAACCTCCCCATTTGAGAAGGCCTAAATGCTTCCTTTGTAAGTCTGGGTTATTTTATTGCTTCCCTTGAAACCCTGGGGATGATGTGCAGCATTCATCTAAGGCTCATTACTGCTGTGTCCTCAGTCACACCCAAAGATTCCGGAAGGCTTCGTCTGCCGCAGCTCCCGTTGCACAGAAGGTACCCCATAAATGTGTGGCTTGATTTGATATGATTCCGCCAGAAAGACTACTCTTTGGAAACCGGACGCCCTACCTAGGGAAAGCAGCGCCTGGCCAGCTCTCTGCTAGGGGAGGAGGTGTAGCCACCTGTGGGCAGGAGGCCTGGGACAGAGACGAGACCGTCCTGGAATGCCCCACTGGCCCCAAGCACGTTGGCCCAGGGAGAAAGTCCGGCACCCCAGGCTCCACGAACGCCCCAGGGCCCACTCCCCACGCCACAGCCAGGACTCGGCTGATGAAAAGTTGATTCTAGAGTTAGCTCCCAGGCCGCCCAACCCCCAGAGAGACTGCAGGCGAGTAGGGCTCTCTCTCTGGGTTGATGGGGAGAGGTTGGTGGCGCCAACGAGAATCAGTAAGAGTCCAGTGATTCTCCCAAACTTGAGACGCTCTCCGGGCATCAAAACAGGGTGATTCTCCTCCTCGCCTGCTTCTCCCCGCCGTCCATCAGGGCCTGGTAGCCCGTTCAAGGGGGCAAGTCGGTCACGCTAGGGCATCCCCACGTGGCTTTAAGATTTTCTACCCAATAGCCCAACACCGGAAGGTCCCTGCTAGAACCAGGGAACGGAATGGAAACACCTGTCACCCGCGCAGAGGGCGGGGACTCAGGGTTTGTGGACTCTGCGAGCAGGGGAGGGGTAAGGCCCAAAAGATGAGAAGGGGGTAGAGATGGCGGAATCCAGCGGTTCAATGTGCCAAGGAGGGGGCGCGGGCCAGGCCTGGGCCCCGAGAAGACACTAGGAAGGGTGGCCCAAGAAGGAACCAGAGTTCGGAGTGCTCCCGTTGAAGATGGGGGAGGGGATTCCTGGAGAGACGCCAAGGGGGAGAGCCCCAGTGAAAAAAACTGGGGCAGGGGGAGCTGCCACGAGGGGCGCGGGATGTCAGCTGCCCCGGACGGGTCCCGTCACTCACCGGCAGGTCCACTCTTACTTCGGTCCCGTCGAGCAGGAAGACGCGGCAGTAGAGGGTAGCCTTGGCGGCACCAGCGGCGGGGATGTGCACTGCCGCGCCGCCCGTGAGCAGGGGCCCACCGCCAGCCGGGTACACGCTGCCTCCGGGCGCG